CAAAACTTAATCAAAAAAATATCTTTGCAAATATCGCAGCATGTTACATGAAGAGATATGAAGATGTAGATTTGAAAAGCAAACGAGAAAAAAATAATTTCACGATAGATCCAAAGATTTTCTACTCTACAATGCGGCTTATCTAACTAGAATTGACGTAAATCCTTCTAGCAGATATGCCTATCTACGTAGTTAATAGTTTGACACAACCTCGTGCACATTCATCTGCCGGCATAAATTAGAGTGGCTGTCGAGCTGAACACGTCTGATAATTAAGAGAGCGTATATATTTAGGTAAGTGGCCGTTCACCGTTAGTCACTTTCGAGGTGAGATACTGCCAGGTCGATCTATATCACATAGAAATAGTATGTTAATACATTTAAAAATCGACCCGTTTGCTTGCAAAACCATTGGTAGAAGAAAATAGACATTAAATAGACATTAAAATAGACATTAAATAGACAGGTTATTTTGTTGCAATCATGAACGAGAGAGAGAGAGAAATAGAATAAGATATAGTGAACTCTTCAAATTGTAAATTTTTCTACTTTTTGATCATAAATATCTTTTGCGTAAAATCAAAAAGTTACGAAACATATTTAATATCTTATTTTGAAATTTAAAAGAAAAAAAGCCAAATTTTAAAATATTTGTCAATTTTTAAATATTTATATCACAGTATATGCGTGTACATGTAATAAAAAAAAATAAGTTTTTTTTCTTTAAATTACAGAGTATAAAGATTCATTAAAATAAAAGTTTGATTAAATAATTAAATTCAATAAACTTATACATCAAGATATATGTATAACATTGATAGTTTTAAAATATTACAAATTTAAAATAAAATGATAGAATTAACTGATAGTTTTGAAACATTACAAACACAAAATTAATTGATAGAATTTAATCGAAGATATTAATTATTAACGTAATATTTCACTGTGTCAATAAAATATCAACAATCCCAACATGCAATAGACCAGCTCGTAGTGGCTTACCACTATAGCGACGCAAATGTAACACGTCGATGCATTAATAAAGTTGTTACTTCTACCTAGTATAACCGGTTTGTTGGGCGTTGTGATTCTGGCATGACCAACTATCGCACCGCAATTATAACAAATCAATAATTTCAACCTCGGCGACCATATAACTTTGACATCCATCCCGGAAGCTGTATGGCAAGTCTATAGCCGAAGTAATGCTAAAACTATCCGTATAAACTAGTTCTCTGTATAATTGAATAAAAAAGATATCAATAAATTTAATCACGATGATTTTTAATTTCTAACATTAAATGATGGATAAAAGAAGTCATTGATATTAATAATTAATTCTATATTTATTACTATTTTTCCGAGATATTTCAATTTTACACTACGTTTTTGGCTATTTCGTTTTTTGCATTCCTTAAGAATTAAGGCTGAAGAATCTCAAAATCTGATATAGATTGTAATCAAACTTTTTAATTGAGACATTAAAAAATTGACTTAAAAATTGATTTAAATTTATTATTATAAATTTATTATTAATCACACAGAAAGATTTGCATTCATTACGTTAGCTATAGAATGTGCAAATGTGCTTTTCAAAAATATCTGTTTTCACTATCGCTACAATATCGAAACTTTACAGGATAACGGTATGCAGGCGAGAGTAATGCAATATTGCTGTGGCAACGTTGCTTTGATTAAACATGACGCGTATTAAATAAAAATCCTATAAAATTTCACAAAAATTCTGACCATGAGATCGAATATCATGCACGATAGTGATTTATATTTGAAACAACAGAATTTATAAAAGTACTTTATATAAAGAGCCACAAATATACCATAAACAAACATTTACGCACATTTATAAATTGTTAATATATCGGACTATAATTGTGCTCCAATATTAATCTTGCTTTATAATACGTTGAGCAATTTTCTATTTCTAAATTTTTTATAATTAATAAATTATACATAAATTATACTTCTTGAAATATATTATCTGTACTGTTTTTTATAAATAATATAAAACAGTTGAATATAATAAACTATGTAATAAAATAATTAATATTTAAATTTTAAATATTTGATTATATTTTTTATCAATATTTTATTAAATTTATTTTATATTTTTTATCTACAATAATTTTAAATTTATTTCTTTATAAATAACTATTAAAAAATAATTTGTATATTTCGTATTATATGAAAACTACAATAGAATAAATAGAATAAAAAATCAATCATCATCTTATGTAGATATATTCAAAATATGGCAATAATAATGTGTTTAATAGGATGAAGTAAAATAATTCAAGAAAAAATTAACACTATTTAAAAATAAAAATTAAGTCAGTTTAAATTTAAATAATCGTAGATAAAATAAATGAGATGTTGAGAAATGTAAACACAAACGATGTAAACACAAACGATGTAAAAATACTTATATTACTTATATTATACTATTAAATTAAATTAAGTTTAATCCTGAACCTTAAAATTTTCTACCGCTTTTTAATTATTTTATTTGATTTTTTTCTAATAAAAAGATGAAAACAATTTGTCTTTATTGCGATTTATTCATTCGTCACAAAATATTTCTATATTATTGAAGATAATTAAAATACGATTGAATTCAATGAAAAGAATTAAAATGATAGGGGAGAAAAGATGAGTGCCGTTAATATTGAATGAATGAACATCGCGTCTAATTTTATTGAGTGCTAAGAACGTCGCTGAAATTCAACGAAAGGTTTCAGAGAAGTTTGTAATTGTAGATTTCCAAATTTCTTGGGTAAATAGGTAGGTGCTAGCGTTACAATTCGCTTACTTCAACTTGAAGTCATGAACTTTGAATCGATTAAAGCAAGTTGTTAACTTATCAGTATCGTCCTGTACGTATATCTCTAAACTTAATATTTTCCAAATATGTGTTCTGCAACAGTCTCTAGTCTTTTGCTGTTATAAACTAGGTTTTTGCAAAATGAACCAATAAACTATTTTTTCTTTTATAAAAACGTGTGAGTCAGTCAGCATTCTAGTAATTCTCCGAAATAAAGAATATGGTAGAAAATAGTAGATCCAATTAATTCAGACTCTTTTATGAATCTTGAATTAACTTAATTACGTGGAAGATTGAATTGGCTTAATTACTCGTTGATAAATGATGCGCTGAGAATCAATGAATGAGATCGTATAATAAATTAGAAAAGTAAATTTTTCATATAAATAATTTTATCAATAATATATAGTTAAATAATATTGCTCTCTCTTTATATAATTTCATAATTTTATATATATGTATACATATTTCTGAAATTACATGTTATTTTAAATCCATGCTGGCATCAAATGTCCAAACGAAATACTTTACTTATTGTTTGTATTGCAACAATATAGTGGTCAAAAATTTCATTGAAACGCATATCGATTGCAAAAAAAAATTGAAAAGAATTGGATAAAAATGATTCAGAATTTTATTTGTATGAGATATGGAAACTTCTGTCTCGAATTCTACATTGTTATTACGCTTTCTTGAGATCTTTAAACGTGAAAAGGTGCAAAGCAAATATCATACAGCGTGTTATTAATTAATATGTATCTTTTCGTAATATCTCTTCGTTAGTCTGTACGACTCTTGTAACACTTAACGCTATAAATAAGCAACTTTGACAGAAACATCTGTTCAAGGCATTTAAATTTTACATAAATCCATTTGTACGCTTGTATTATAATATCGATCCATCATTTGTCATGCATTTTTAAAAATAATAATTATAAAAAACAAGCATCAAGTATTTTATTATAAATATTTTAGATATTTTAAAATAAAATCTGGAATATTTTATACACGCGTTGTTCGATAATTTAGAATAAATCATTTTCGAAAAAATGAGAAAAAGAAAAAAACAAGCAATATATCTATTTTAAAAATAATATAAACGGATAATTGATACATTATTTATCTCATGTTGTCCGATGTTTTCCCAGTAGTCCTCTTTTCCTTTCTTGTTCATCTTTTGCTGTTTTTTGAGCTACATACTCATTCGTGAAAACTCGATTAATTATAATTAGTCGTATACGCCAAAGATCGCGAAGCACTTTGCACGGTATTCCCGACCGCGTAATAATCATAGGAGATATGTATACGTTTTGTTATATTGTGAGAGTAATATATGACTGCATAATATATACGAAAAGTACATTTATTCGATGATTCTACACGAGATTAAAATCATGTGTCACTCGTTATATTAATGCTATCTCTATTGTTATAGTAATGCTATCTCTATTGATACATGTACATATAATTGTAAGATTGAAAGTTTAAAGTGATGAAAAATCGTGATATAAAATAATCACTTATTTCAATAATATGAATTCAAAAATATATAAAGCATTTTCACTACTTGACTCGAGTGTCGCGTGGGAATAATAACAGAACCACGATATGTAAACACTGACGCGTTATACATCGTCAAGGCCAGACATGTTATCACATACATATATACATAAGTATGTGTGTATGTGTGTGTCAAAATACGTGAAATATTTCGACAACGAATTATCAATCATGTTTTCAACCTTGATGGCGTATAGCGCGTCATTGTTTGCCGCGGTCTTATTATCATTCGCACGGCGACGCTCGAGCAGTCAAGTAGCTAGTGAAACGCGTTGTATATTATTAAATTCTTTTCCTAATCGCGACAAATGTCGAATTAAAATTCTCTTATTAACAATTAACAATTAATTAACTTTCGATAACCGATATAAGACTGCATAAATCTTTATCAAAGCACAATCATTCATCATTAAAAATAAGAAGAGACAGAGACGAAAATTATAAATTTTATCACGATTCTTCGATTATCATACTTACGGATAATAATTATATTCTCTAACAATGTTTAGAGAAATAAATTTTTTTCTTATTCGATGTTTTACATTTTTCTAAAATGAGAAACATATATTAATTATTTATTAAGCGATTATTATGACTTTTCATTACTTTAATCTTCTGGTTTTACAATTTGTGTTATTGTACATGTACTATACATGCATTAACAATAGAGATAGCATTACTGTAACGAGTGACACATAATTTTCGTCTCGTGTAAGCGTTACGTGAATTGTGTTTTTCGTGTTGCTTTCTTACGATATACAAAAGTGTATCTCTCGTGATTATTTCGCGATTGAAAGTACCGTGCAAAGTCTCGCGATCGTTGCGTATACAACTAATTATAATGAATCGTGTTTTCGCGAGTGAGTGTTATGAGAAAACACCAAGGGATAAACAACAGAGGAAAAACAGATCTGGAACAGCATCAGGCAATGCGTATATGGTAAGTAATTCATAAATTAATTATCATTTATATTATTTTCAAACTAAACATATTGTTCACTCTTTTTCATTTTTCCGATAATAATTTAGTCTAAATTATGATTATATATATATATATATATATATATATATATATATACATATATTACACACTCGCATCCCTCTCTTCCATTGATTAAAAAAGATATGTCTTAAAAATACGATCAAGTAAAATATTTTATTATAGATATTTTAGGTATTTTTTTAAAAATATCTATAATAAAATATTTTACATTTGATATTTTTTTTAAGACATATCTTTTTTGATCAATGGAAAAGAGGGATGCGAGTGTAACTCCATATAAATTTTAAAATAAATTACTCCGAATTATGTATTATATTGAAAAGTTATATAACTCTCTCAACATTTTGACGTAATGAGAAAATATATCATATATATATATATATATATATATATATATATATAAGTATATAATCTTATATATATCTTATAACTTTTATATATAGATGTTAATAGTTTTCTTTTCAAAATTTTATTTTATTATAATTAAAATTATTTTATCTTATTATTATATGCACCTCCGAATATAAGTTCAATGCATCATAAGTTTTGAAATATTAATTATTTTAAACGTTACTACAATTTAAATCTTCCATTTGTTGTTACAGATCAACATAACTGACAACTTGAGACAACGACAAAGGAAAGACATCCTTACACCGGCGGGGCAACTCTAAGGTAAGTGCTTATTATTTATATATTAATTGTTAAAAGTCGCATGAATTCGATTTTATTATTTGAATAAATTAAACAAGAAAGAAAAAAAGATTTTTATATAAATCTTTCTAAAAGCTTCTATTAAAAAAAACTTTTTTCTTTCAATTTATAAAATTGTATGATTCATATAAATCCAAATTATCGATTAATTAAATCATATGTAACATATAATAATCATATATATAAAAAGTAATAAATTAATTTATAGCTTATTATAAATTATATATATATATATATATATATATATATATATATATCACAAATTACTTTGACCGATGATTTGGAATTAATTAGATAAAGCAAAATTAAATTCAACGATGAATAACAGTCATCTTACAATCATATTCGAATATAAAAGCGTTCATGCACCGACGATGATAATTAGCCAGTAATGAAAGGAATTTTCAAAATATCAAAAAAATTACAATCAAATATATTATATATTATAATTTAAATTGCGAGCAAAGTGCAGAAAATATATCTACGAGCAACAGGTGTAGTATCGCCGCGAGCGGTGATGTGTGAATTGGACGCGCAAGTTTCAATCTTTCTCCTGCTCGAAATTCGTCTATTAATTCGCGAGATCGAATAGATCGTGCAATCGTATTCTTTCGCATTATTCTTTCAGTATGATATAATAAAATGCGCGTTGCATATGCAAATAATATCGAGAGTACCGATCAAATGCTGTGCGACTATAATTAACGGATTTCCGCGAATGTTTATCGAATGCTGTGAAGAGTAGCAGCAGAAGACAAAAAAATAGAGAAAGAGGCTAGAGAGATCGGGCGATGGTGACGCAATCATAGCATAGAACCATAGACATATATACGTGAGATAATTTATTTTATTTATATATTACTTGATTATAATGTATTACTTGTTTTGCAAAATAATTGTTTCGACATTTCGACAGTCGCATGGTTCGTGTGTAATTTTGCATTGTTATATAAAATATGAAGTCTCTTTTATTTTATTTAATATATATATATGTGTGTGTGTCAAACATTTAATAAAATATTTATAAGTTTTATTTTATGTGTATATGTGTACACACAAATATTATATATATTAGAAATATGCATGAATAACAAAAAATATTATAAATACATCACATATTTTAACTTATTTAATAAAATATTAATTTTATTCAAATTTTCATAGTCTGTTAATTCATATTTTTTATTGAATCCAATGTGATTTTATTCTATTACTCGGAATAAAGTAAAATACAATTCAAATATTCTACAGAATAAAAAAATTTTCTATGAATTAATTCTCAAAATTAGTTTTACTAAAAAAAATTTGTATTATAAAAAAATGATGTTAAAATAATAATTTTTGCAACAATCCATCCGAGCACTCCATCTATGCACAGAACAAAATTTTCAAAATTACATACATACGCGTACATATATGCTTAGTAGAAACTGTAGTATCACGTTTTATATTATCACGTTTTATATTGAGAATACAACGAGTGATATATTTATAATATTGTTTGTTTATTTAATAATTTATTAATTTAGTAATATATTAATGATGTAGCAATACTATATGTATATATTTGACTTCATATTTTCGTATATTTTTCAAATTACACAAAAATATCTGAAATTAGAAACATTCATACATTCGCCAACTTATCGAGATAATTATCTTCCTAGTGATATTCTCGATAGATAAGTGTTCTATTGTGTGTGAAAGAGGATTATCTCTCAATAGCAATGACGGAATCGGTACAGGGTTCAGTCCTTATCTACCTCTTGTAATTGAAGCTATGATGTAGGTCAGAGACTCTAATAACACTGGCTATAGCTACATGTGCACATATCACGCATAAATGCATGAAGTACGTGTAGGATGCATATAAAACGTGACAATACGAGATTTCTGTGCGAGCATAAATGTACATATGCATGCGCACTCTTTTGCATACGGGGTAAGTACATACATATACACGCGGAAATGTATAAAAGCATGCCCTCAAGGGTTCATTGCGAGTGTACTGCATAACCAATTCTCTCGGACTCTTTGCGATTCTCGTCACGCTTGTCGCTGAGCATTTTCACGTTGCGCTGTTAAATAAGAAGAATTATTCAATTTTTTGAACATCGCGCTTTTCTTTCTCTTCCTTGCAAAATGTTGAGCGTGCGCGAGAGGAATTATTTAATTTCTCAAACAAACGAAACAGACTTCATTTACGCTGACATTATATACAACATCTTGGTAACTAAGCTTCAAATTAGAATATTCTGTTAAATCCAAGATAATTCTTTAACAAATACAATTATTCGATAAACAAATTACATATATTATCCTTTCTTAGTCGTTATTTGTCCAAACTTCTGCTTCCATGATAACTAAAATATAAAACATTATTTTATCAAATTGGATGATAATATCTAATACACGTTTATATTTTTTAATTAAAATTTTAAAGCAGTATCTTAAAAAATTCAATGTTATTTTATTAGTAAATTATCATAAATATTTGATGACAATAATATTTATAATAAATATCAATTTTATAAATATATTATAGAAAAATATTTACGGCATCTTATTAATTGTATTAATCTTAGGAGTTACGCTAATTATTTTAAAGAAAATAATTATCATTTTTAAATCTTAATTAAAAAATATGAAAACCTAATATATTCTACATAATAATTCGCGTTAATAATAAAATAATGTTTTATATTTATTCATGTGTATGCTTTCGATAATTTAGTCTCATTATACTCTATAATTAATTAAATATATAATGTTCGGAAAATTTATATTATGTATTATCAGTGAATTAGAGACGAAAAATCCACTAGAAGTAGTGCCGTTAATTAATTGCATACTAGGAGAGAGATGAAGGCGTTCCGTATTTAATTGGAGAAATACGGCCAGGCAATGAATCGAGACTCTATCGAGCCTAACCTGATGAAACGAGGATAATTATCTGGTTCGATAATGGCAAGCAGAGTATACGCCTGTATTCACTGTAACAGTGTCACGTCAAAAGCCTCTGTAATTCGACTTGAATAATGACGCTGCATGCCATTCTACGTTACTTTGTCATGTGTAATTGCAACCGCTAATATCGATGATTACAATATTGCACTTTGCAAATTCCTGTATTCAAAACACAGAATAACAAAAGGAACCTAAACTCTACAATTATAATTATCCTCGTATATAAAATCTATTTTGTTTGTTCGAGAAATTAAATAATTCTTCTCGCTAATGCCGCAAGAGAAAAATAAAGATGTTGAAAAAGATACGATGTTCTTGTTTATAAAAATAATACGAAATATTAAATTTTGTATATAAATGGGAGATATAAAATATTGTATTTTTTGAGATATAAAACATTAAACATTAATATGCACAGGAATTATTATAAACTATGTCATACAAATAAAACATTGAACGTATATAAAAACGTCCTTTTTCCATTTTAAGCATTTTATATAACCATATTTATTAATTAAAAATTCTGTTTCATAATAAAATATTGCGCTATCATAATCAATTCGAAAATTGCAAACGCGATTAAATGCGTAATTAAATTTATGCATTTCATTTAAAGACCAGTCTATTTCTGTGTTAATTATAACATCGTGTTTTTTTTGTAAGAACGACACGTTTTTCTTGCGAAATATGATAAAATATGATTTCTTGGAAATAAATATAGTGTTATAAATTCCAAATCTCTGCGTGTAGAAGTTAATCGTTATAATTATACTTTATATATGGGCATACTATTTTGCAATCTGCAGTATATCACAAGTCCATTAACGTCGTAGAATGTTAAAAGTATCGTGCAGTGAATGGCTAATCGTGTTTTGTTCTCGCACCGTTGGAAACTTCCTATATGAATGTCCAATGTGTCCATTCCCCATATTGCGTCACGTCGATAAATCGACCCTCGTTCGAATTTAGGGGTTTGTCTCGACAATAAATAGGGGCTAAAGCAACGCAACTAGAACTGATCTTTGTAAGCGCGGCCAATGATCGCGTTGCGGAAATGTATCCCATTACGAGGGTGACAATACACAATGTAACGGATTGTGAATATTAACCCTGCCGACGATTCGAATATGAACATATTGCATTTCCATGTAAGTGACGTAGAAAGTATCGTAAATGTAATAAATGCGGTAACGTGCAGTCATTGTCAGTATTATTAATTGGATACTCATGAGTATATTCGCGTACATAACGTATTTTGGTTCGTAAATTTATACTGCACTTCTCGAAGCTACAAGCTGGCGATAGGACATCCGATAGTAATAGGACATCCCATATACATAGTTTCAGGCGCAAATAACTTCACGGCAACGTTTACAGACTAACTCTATACCCGCCAGTTACAATTTCCGGCAAATGTTCGGCAACCAATCACGTTTCATGCCCTTCGGTCTACCCACATAACGTTAGTATTTACTTCTCGTTTACAAGAAATTTTCTCCGAAATTTCCTCCATACCTTTCTCCAAGGATTCCCGTGATACTTTGCACGAGGTTAAATTAGTGCCACTTATATATGCATCTATTTAATGAAAATTAAATATGTCTGTGACATGGTCAGCCATTACAGTGCGCTACTAGAGTATATCGCAAATAACTGGTCGTGATTGTATCTCATGGGATTTATATATCAGACAATTTTGTGAATAAATCGCAAAAATATATAGAACGAACTGACTATGCATATTAAATGTTTGACGAGTATATTTGATTTGAAAGCACTATATATATTAAATTTTAATTTAAAATGATATATGACTGTTTGCCATTCTTAGCAACATTTGTTTAACGACATAAGAAAAATATTGATTTTAATCTTTTAATGTTGAAAATGAAATCAATTCATCGATTACCATAATTGATTTAAATAATTAAGATATAAATTATATTTAGAAAAATATAAAAACTGAAAGATTATAATGATGATAGAATGAATGA